ATGCCAATATCCTACCTTATCCAGCCTGCTCATAATTTTGAAAACCTCCATCAGATCTCCTCATAGACTTCTTCTCTCCAATTGAACAGTCACAACTTCTTCAATCTATTCTCATAACTGAAGTTTCTCATTCCCGGAATCAGTCTTGTAAATTTCTTCTGCACTCTCTCCAATGCATTCACATCTTTCCTATAATGTGGTGCTGAAATCTGTACATAATACACCAGCTGAGGTCTAACAGGTGTCTTATAAAGTACAATGTCACCTCCTTGCTTTTATACTCTATGCCCCTATTAATGAAGTCAAGGGTACCGAATGCTTATTGCTCTCTCCACCTGTCCAGCCACCTTCAATGATCTGTGCACATATACACCTAGGTTCCTCTGTTCTTGCACCCCTTTAGAATTGAATCCCCTATTTTATATTGTCTTTCAATGTTCATCCTACCAAAATCCTTTGCCTGATACCTCTCTGCATTGAAACTCTTCTGCCATCTATCTAACCACTCTACCAACTTGTCTATGTCCTTTTGGAGTTCTACACTGTTCTCCTCACAGTTTACAATGCTTCCAAGTTTTGTTTCATCTGCAAATGTTGAAATTGTCTTCTGCACACCACAATGTAGATCATTAACATGTTCAGGAAAAGCAAGAGTGCTAATACTGACCCCTGGAGAACTCCATTATAAACCTTCCTCCTGCCTGAAAAATATCCATTAACCATTACTCTCTGTTTCCTATCACTCAGCCAATTTTGGATCCACATTGCTACTGACCTTATATTCCATGTCCTGTAACTTTTCTCACAAGTCTGTTGCATAGCAGAGTATCAGATGCCTTCTGATGGTCCATGTAGACAACATCAACAGCATTAGCCCCATCAAACCTTTTTGTAACATTTTCAAAAAGCTCTAACAAGTTAGCAAATTTCCCTTTTAGAAATCCATACTGACTCTTTCTAATCAACCCACCTTTTTCCATGTAACTGCTAACTCTGTCCTGAATAATTGCCTCTAGAACCTAGCCCACTACTGAAGTTAAACTGACTGGTCTGTAATTGCTGGGCTTATCCTTACAAACTTGCTTGAGCAGCCTTTCTTGTTCCATTGTTTAAAAGGGAGGAAGGATAGGTCAATAAAACAAGCCAATCCATCTAACCTGAAGTGGGGAAGTTGTTAGAAAGAATTCTGAGGGATAAAATATATCTGCACTTGGAGAGACATGAATTAATCAGGCATAGTCGGTGTGGATTTGGTGAGGGAGGGTCGTGTTTGACAAATCTGGTCAAATTTCTCAAGGACGTACCCAGGAATATTGATAAGAGTAATACATTTGATGTGGCCTACATGGAATTTAGCAAGGTTTTTGATATGGTCCTTTACAGCAAATAGGTCAAGGAGGTAAGAACCTAAGGGATCCAAAATTGTCTGAGAGGTAGGAAGCAGAGAGTGAAAGTATATAGAAGTCTGTTTCTACTGAGGTTCCACAGGGCTCGGGGCTGGGACCCTTTCTGTTTGTGGTGTACATTAATGATTTGGAATTAAACACAGAGGGTTTGGTCAAGACACCTACATATTACACAAAAATTGGTATGGTGTATATTAAAGAGGATAGCCATAAACCGCAGGAGGATGTGAACAGACTAGTCAGTGGGTGCAGCAGTGATGGATTAAAATCAACTGGAAAAATGTGGGGTAATGCACTGGGGGAGAGCTAAGAAAGCAAGGGTTTATACTATGAATAGTAAAATTCTGGTAAGTACTGAAGATAGGAAGGACCTTTATGTACATATCTACAGATAGCAGGATAGAAGTTAGCAGAGCAGGTAGATGAATCAGTTTAAGAAGGTACATGTGATACTCAGTTTTATGTTACACTCAGAAATACTCAGTTTTGAAGTCATGAGAAAATGGGAATGGTTGAATCATAGCAGGCAACAGTGGAATGTGTTTTGATTCCAACCCTGTTTAAATGCGATGAGATCGTAAGAAACAAGGTTGGGTGCGTCCATAATATGTTTCCCTTCTCGTCTTACGGAAAATATGAATCAGAAACTGAGTTTTAATTTATTATTTTGACAGTAAAATTTAGGTGTTAAAAATGACCTGTCCTTATTAATTATCTGATGGGAATGTAGCTGAAAAGTTGCTCTTGTCATTGAGTCCTAAATCAAAAGTAGCACAAAGTTGACAGTGCATCAAACAAATCTTGAAACTTTCTCACTCCTATTTCTCACTTCCATTCACTGGTGGGAAAGGTTTTTTGTTTGCAGTAATCCCCCTGACAAAACATAATAAGCAAGTTCTGAGTTTGTCAGCTTGTCAGACAAAAATGTTAAAAGCATATAGTAACTTTTTTCTATATAATAGAACCCATTCCCCTCCTTCCTCAGTCACCTCAAGAATAGTATGTTAACTGACAGAATTTCTCTAATACGATTTTATTTTCAATTTTACTATTCTGGGGCTATAATAATAAATGTTGCCCAAAGTCTCTAAATTATTTAGTTGTTTGTGTTATTGGATGAAATATTGTATGAATCATCAGCTAGAATTATTTTGAAGGAAAATTTAATTTATTTTTACATGCTTTTTTGAAGAGGTGCTGCTTCTGTGGGTCAATTTTGTCATTTTTAAATCATATGATTGCAATTTTGGTTTCAAAGTTAAACTACGCAATATCTGCCCATCAGCGATTCCCTTATTTATGTAAATTCAAAGTTAAACTATTTTATGATATCTCTCAGCAATAATAGCATCAAGAATTCCACCAACACTCAGCCATTGCTACATTACTACTTGTGTGACATAGTTATAATGGTTTCAGAGATAGTAGGAACTGCAGATGCTGGAGAATCTGAAGAAGGGTCTAGGCCCGAAACGTCGGCCTTCCTGCTCCTCTGATGCTGCTTGGCCTGCTGTGTTCATCCAGCTCTACACCTTGTTATCTCATAGTTATAATGGTGTTTGTTTCTGAATTATGGCTGTCTCTTTAACTCGAGACTGCCTTTCCTTCGAATGCTTTATTTTCAATAATGTTTTGTTGCAGTAGTACACTCACTGTTTTCTTGATGCAAATTTCAAAATGATCAAGTTTTTCTTTCAAATGTGATTATCTACATCTAAGGTTTGCAAAGCAAGGAATGTATTGCCTAATAAGTTCTACACAAAATAAAAATATTTCAATGGTCATTTAATCCCTTGGACATTTTACAGAAAAGATCTGCATTTAGATAGCATCATTAATGGCCACAGGACACTCCAAAGCACTTTACAGCCAATTAAATAATTTTGTAGTATTATTATAATCTTTAATGAACCTGATTGGGCATGTTACAATAAAGGTACTGTCACCATGGTCCCAGAAGGCTGCTCTCTCATTGGATTGGGAAGACTAGTGGTGAGATTAACCTGAGGGTCACCACACACCATGCAAGGGGAGATGTTGAGAAGGAGAGTCCTTATGGTAACTTCAGACATTCAGGAATTGAACCCATGATTTTGGCATCACCCTGTATTGCAAACTAGCCATCCAAGCTAACCAAGCCCCTGCATGCTACAATGAAGGTCCAGGGAGAGACATTGTGCCAAAGTGGTCGTGTCACTATCTCTGAACCAGGAGGTCAAGGTTCAAGTCCTACAACCCTAAATATGTGTCATAATGTTTCTGAACAAGTTGGCCAAAAAAATCTACTTCTCCAGGGCAGCTGGACCTGAACCCAGATCTTCCATCTCTGCCACACAAGACCCTATTTGTTGCCATTGTTGCCATTTAGGGGATGTAACAGCCAATTTGCACACAGCAAAAGTTCTCAAATACTAATGTGATAATGCTGACATAATGTCTTAATATGGGTCTGATGTTGATTGAGGGATAACTATTGACCAGAACACATTGCGTTTATTCCAAGTGGTATTGGATTATGGGGGATGGGGGGAGGAGGGTGGTTCTTTTAAGATCATGTAAGAAGTCGAGAACAGTCTAGTTCAAGAGGTTGAACAACACCCGCTCAGAATTGCCCTGGAGTGTCAGTCTTGATTGTCCTGAAGTCCCGCAACTTTCTAATCACAGCTGCGTGACTACAGTAGAATGCCTAATGATTTTAACTGATAACATCAGTTGTAGTGCAGCAAAAGCCTGGAGATGATTCATATCAGTGGCTGTTTTGATTCACGAATTGATTAAACTAAGCTGGAATTGACAATAAAAAAGCAGATTTAAGTTCCTCCGTTGTCACGAGTTTGTACTGCTGGCTCCTGGAGGTATCAGACTATCCAGTTTCATAAAGTACACGGTTAGGTCGACACGAAATTACTTCGGTTCCAAATATTTGCCACTTGTGAAAAGTTGAGGGGGCTGGGGTACTGGCATTTTACATCAGAATAAACTGGGAGCCCAGCTCTTTTTATTAAATTCTCCCCATCCCAATTGTGAAAATCTCGACTTGCGGCGGAGAGAGCAATAAAACTAAGAGGGTGTGAGCGAAGAAATGTCGATAGCTTTTTTTTCAAAGAAACAGACGAGCAACATTATATTTATATCTCGTTCTCATTCCTACCTTTAACAAGTTATGCGTTCAGAAAATAATCTCATGCTTCATTTCCACCAAGGCGTTAAAAACAAGTATTAAAATTCCACAACTATTTATGGAGCTGGAAAGCTGAAAATGAAAATATTCTTCAGGACCAGTTTATTGATGTGCAACTTTTAATTCGGGCACATGCTTGATGTTGTTTTGTTCAGAATTCTCTCGCAGAATTCTTTCACAAAATAGATGATCATCGATGCAGGTCTGTGTATAACCGAGGGGTCTGTTTAGTAAAAGCCTCCTACGATCAACTTTTCCAAATTCCTGTCAAAGAAAGTCTCTCTCATTTGCATGGATCTCCGTTTCTGCTGGAGGCGATTGGTTGGGGAGCTGCGGGTTAAACCAGACCCTGGGAGGGGTTTAAAATCTCGGCTGCAAGAACTGTTTCCAGTAGAGGTAGTGGTTGTCACTCACCCACACACACAGACACATACACACACACACACACCCTGGGGTTTAACTGAGTGACTAGCAGTGTGTGGGGGTGGGGGGGATCTCCGAGTGTCACCATGGAGGTCTCAGCTGTCTGAGGCTGGAGTCTGTCCCATGACCTCCTGTTCCCACCATGAGCTGTCTGGATATTATGTACCCCACGTATGGAGCATATCACCCTTTATTTCACAAGCACCCAGCGTATGCAGCACAGGTAGGACTCGACACAGAGATCGATCATTTCTTAATGGGGGGGGGGGGGGGGAGGGGGTATTTAAGAACCCCGAGTGGTATCTGCAGTATTGCTCAGGGCAGAAAGATTGGGCGGCCACTCGGGTCGAATTGGAGCAGACTGTCCTGACGAAGGGTCACACTGGATCCGAAACGTTAACTGTTTCTCTCTCTCCGCAGATGCTGCCAGAGCTGCTGAGTTTCTCCACCAGTTTCTATTTCTGTTTGAGATTGAGGTTTCTGTTCGCCGAGGGGTGAATGGTACTGACGCAAACTGAGCCGTGGTTCCGTGGGACGGAATATTTCCAATCGGGTCCTCCGCTTTGGGAGAAAATCTGTCCTTACTAACAAACTGATTGAAACTTTTTTGAGATCTCGGGGCTGGGTGGTGCCTGGCGGGTGTGGTAGTGTAGGGAGGGACTGCCAGTATTTTTTTTTGCTTAATTGAAGCCCCCGGGAGTGGTGTAGCCCCCGGGTAAAGCAGCAGTTTTGGGGAAATGCCCGCAGTTAGCGAGAGCTCAGAGAGATATCTCCGGGCACACCGTGAGCAGATAAACACAGCCGGCCCCAGCGGCGATTCTGTCTCCATCGTTCGTTAAATCTTTTCCCAAAGTTTACCTTCCTCTCGTCTGAGGTTTTAACTTTCTGTTTGAACCTGCTGTTTCGGCGGAGGCAGAGCCAGATCCTTAACGTTCCACCCGTCGGGTTGGGATAGAGCAGGGAGAGTGCTAGACCCTGAGCCGCTCTGCGAAATGTTTTCTTTACGTTTCTGCTCAGATTCTCATTTGAACAAAGTCAGCGCTTTTTCTGGTGAAGGCGAACTGTGTCTGTGATGTGCAAGAGTTTCTGTAATTCCAGATCGGTAATGCCAAGGGCTATTGTAATCCCAGAGTTGTAATGCCAAGGGCTATTGTAATCCCAGATATGTAATATCAAGGGCTATTGTAATCCCAGAGTTGTAATATCAAGGGCTATTGTGATCCTAGAGCTGTAATATCAAGGGCTATTGTAATGCCAGACCTGTAATGTCAAGGGCTTTTGTAATCCAAGATCTGTAATATCAAGGGCTATTATAATCCCAGATCTGTAATATCATGGGGTATGTAATTATCAGAGTTGTAGCGCCAAGGGCTACTGTAATCCCAGAGTTATAATATCAGGGCTATTCTAATGCCATTGTCAGATGTCACACGGCACCAGGTTATAGTCCAACAGGTTTATTTGAAATCACAAGCTTTCAACGCAGCTTTCTCCAACCCAGTCCAACACTGGCACCTCCACGTAATATTCAATACACAGTGGTACCACATGGGGTACAGACATTCCGCACCTCTCTCTCTGTGTCTCTGTAAGACATGCATATCCCGCGACCCTCCTTCTCTCTCCCTCAAACACATTCAAATCCCGCACCTCCCTCTCTCCCTCTGTGTAAAACACTCACACCCCCCCCCCCCCGCGGGGGCCCCCCCACCCCCCCCCCCCCCCCCCCCCCCCCCCCCCCCCCCCCCCCCGAGGCTGTGCTGCCAGGCAAGGGGGGCAGAGACGGAGACGATGGGGGAGTGGGAGCGAGCGAACGGGATGGGAGACATGGTGAATGAAAAACCAGGAGGCGGTGGGTTTATTACTGGAATCGAATTATGTCACCGCCGACACGTCGTTGTTTAAAACGGGAAACTAAGTAACAGAATCGGAAAGAATTTCCCGAATCCGACAGGGAATTGTTTCCACTCTGTGAGAGTCCGGGGAGAGTGTAACATCAGAAAAGGACGGGTCTCTGTGATTCAAGGCGAGAGGAGAAACACTTTCCTAACCCTCACCCTAAGCCTATCACAGCGGGTTTCACAGCTCTCTGTGCTCTCCCAGGGCAATAATAACCCGCTTACAATGAAACTCAGGCTGGTCATGGCTGAGTTCTGAGGAAGGGTCACTGGACCCGAAACGTTAAACTCTGATTTCTCTCCACAGATGCTGCCGGACCTACTGAGCATTTCCAGCAATTTCTGTTGTTGGTATTGACTTTCCACTTATGGCAGAATTGTTGGGAATTAAAGTTCATCCCCATTCCCAAAACAACCCCGTGAGTGTGAAAGGGTGTGGGGGATGGGAGTTTCTGGGGGTGGGGGGGGGGGCGGCTGGGAGCTGGTGTCCGCTTCTTTCTGTGTTGAACTCCGAACGCCAGGTGTTGTAGGAATGTAGGAGTTAAACTCAATTGTTTGTTCGTTCAGTTGATATGCTACAGTACAGAACTGCGTATGTGACAATGTATATACACAAAGTTATTTTGTGAATCAAGTATATTTGTGAAATGCAAACAAAATGTCTCCCAGCCTCCCTGGCCATTGTAACGACCCTCAATCTCCTCCCTGCAGGCTCTCTCTGTTTACCCACGAGTGCAGGGTGTGGCGATGGAAGGTGTATCCAGCAGCTCTGGCCGCCCCTCGGCTCCCGGTAAAGAGGATTCCATCAGGGACAAGGAGAGACCTGAGGCTGAGTACATTAACTCTAAGTGTGTCCTCTTCACCTATTTTAACGGGGATATCAGCAGCACGGTGGATGAGCACTTTACCCGAGCATTAAGCAACTACAGCCCTGAGAGCAGGAGTTACAAACCCAGGAAAACCACTTCAGGCTCATCAGGTAAGGGAGCTGAGTGGCCAAATGGCATTTCTGCGGCTTGTACCTCTTCCTACCCCTGTTACTTTCCCCAAATGCATCAAATATTGTTTTTAAAACAATGATTTTGAACTGTGCTATCATCCAAATAGTGTATAGAGAGTTCTGAAGTTCTGATTTCTGAAGAAGGGTCTAGGCCCGAAACGTCAGCTTTCCTGCTCCTCTGATGCTGCTTGGCCTGCTGTGTTCATCCAGCTCTACACCTTGTTATCTCAGATTCTCCAGCATCTGCAGTTCCTGCTATCTCTGAGTGTGTAGAGAGTCATAGAGTTGTACAGCAGGGAAACAGATCCTTTGGTCCAACTCAATCATGCCGACCAGATATCCGATATAAATCTAGTCCCATTTGCCAGCATTTGGCCCATATCCCTCTAAAACCTTCTTATTCACATACCCATCCAGATGCCTTTTAAATGTTGTAATTGTACCAGCCTCCATCACTTTCTCTGGCAGCTCATTCCACACACCCACCATCCTCTGCGCGAAAATGTTGGCCCCTAGGTCCCTTTTATTACCTTTCCGCTCTCTCCTTAAACCTGCGCCTTCTAGTTTTGATCTCCCCTACGCTGGGGAAATCACCCTGGCTATTCACCCTACCCGTGCCCCTCATGATTTTATAAACCTCTATAAGGTCACCCCTCAACCTCCGATGCTCCAGGGAAAATAGCCCCAGTCTATTCAGCCTCTCCATTTAGATCAAACCCTCCAACCCTGGCAACATCCTTGTAAATCTTTTCAGAAACCTTCCAAAGTTTAACAGTACCTTTCCTATAGCAGGGAGACCAGAATTGCTCTCAGTATTCCAAAAGTGACCTAGCCAATGTCCTGTACAGCCGCAATATGACCTCCCAAACTCCTTTACTCAATACACTGACCAATAAAGGCAAGTGTGCCAAACACCTTCTTTGTATAAAAGCCAAAGAACAGCGGATGCTGTAAATCAGCAACAAAAAAACAGAAGTTGCTGGAAAAGCTCAGCAGATCTCGCAGCATCTGTGAGGAAAAATCAGAATTAATGTTTCCAATGGGTGATCCTTCCTCAGAACCGGCAACTTCTGCCCACTTCACTGTCCTGTCTACCAGCGCCTCCACTTTCAAGGAATTGTCTGAAACTGTCGGGAATTTGCTCGCTGTGCGATCAGCTCTTTCTCGAGGCTCCAGTTTGGAGTTCCTGCCCAGCACAGAGAAATCTGTGAAACCTCCTGAATTTCACCGGCGCTTTCAGACTTTGTTTCACGTTCCCAGTATCTGGAGTTCTCTGTTTCAGCTACCTGGCCCCAGCAATGTTCTGCTCACAGCCCTCAGAACGGGACTCAACCAAAAAAGTATTTCAGATATAAATATTTTACAGGAAACTGTAGAATCCTCCCTCATTCACAACCGTCACCCTAACGGAACCGAAATGAGTAAATTGTGAAACGGGAAATGGGTCAAATTTCCGAATCAATGACTACGTTGGTGTCGGGGGCTTGGCTCTCTAGTGTCCCTACCTCAGGACCGGGAGGCCAGCGTTCAAGGCCCACCTGCTCCAGATGTGTGTAATGACATCCCTGAACAAGTTGAATAGAAGATGCGTTTTTAAAAAAACTGTTTGGTTAATTATTCGAGAAAAGTGAAAAATACACTCTTCCCCCTCCACGCCACTTTCTCTTTCTTTCCAGGAATCTAAACTGGAACAGTGATCCCAGACAACCCGTCGATCCATGTTGGAAAAAGCACATCCCTGTTTCTTAGCTTGATGAACATGATAAATGTTTACCAGGAACTTTCCGTTGTTACATTCTCCTGCCAATTCACACCTTGATGGTTACATTAACCTCAGCCCCCACCGCCCCAACGAGGAGGTAAATTATTACCTCATACAAGTCGGAACCAGACCAAACCAGAGAACAGGCGAGAGGAGTGCTAAAAGAAAGGAACTTGCCTTTATATAGCGCCTCAGGACCTCCCCAAAACACTTTGCAACTAATGAAGCATTTTTTAATCAATAAAAACAGGAATTGTTGTAGAAACTCGGCAGGTTAGGTGGGATCTGTGGAAAGAGAAAACAGCGTTAACGTTTCAAATCCAATAATGACCTCTTCCAAGTTCTTGAGAAGTCCTCCCACACTCGAAGCGTTAACGCTGTTTCTTTCTCCACTGAAGATGCCAGGCCCGCTGAATTTCTCCAGCAATTTCTGTTTCTCTTTTTAAATTTCACATGTCAAGCCTCTGCAGGACTTTGCTTATATCTGAAATACTTTTAAAAGTGTAGGGTCTGTCGTGGTGCAGGAAACCGCTGCAGTCACACAGCACACAGCAAGATCCCACAGACATATGCTAATCGCTCGACAGCCTTTTGAAGATGTTGGTTGAGAAATAAATGAGCCGAAGTGAAGAAATGTCTCTACCTACAACTGAAAAACCGAAATGTCCCAGTCTCGAACCGTGGGACCTCCTAGACTGCAAATAGGGAGTGAGACTGATTGTTAAAGACAGGACTGTTTTCTTCTCTCTCTCCCTCCCTTTCTCTATTTGGAATGGGTCCTTCCTTAAGACAAAAAAAACAGAAAGTGCTGGAGAAACTTAGCAGGTTTGGCAGCACCTGTGGAGAGAAAGCAAAGTTAACGTTTCGGGTCCAGTGACTTCCTCAGAACCCTGCTAGGCCTCCTGAGTTTCCCCACTAAAATATCCCAAAGCCCGGTTGGTTTTCCCTGTTCCCAGATAACGTGGACAGTAAAATCACAAACCAGTGCTAACAATGGGCCTGAGACTCTCACAAATCCTTCCAGGATAACGCCCCAATGGGATTCGAACTAAACTCCAGAAAGTTTTTCAGGCATAAATATTTTACAGGAGACTGTAGAATCCTCTCTCATTAACAGCCGTCACCCTAACCGAATTGAAATGAGTAAAATGTAACACAGAAACGGGACTGGGGTCAAATTTCCGAACTGTTGTGTTTTTGGGCGGGTGGGGGGCTTCATGATGAAGTAACAGTGAAAAATACATAGCACACTCTCCCCCTCCCAGCCTCTCCCCACATTATTGTATTTCCTGGTGTGTTCAATGGGGAGCAGACTGAGTAATGTAAGCAAATAGCGGCGTCAAGAGATCAGCTTCTTTAATCAGTTACACATCTGCAAACTACAGCCCCCAAAATAGAACGTGAGTTTCCAAAAATGCTTTAATGTTAATAGACTCGGGTTTGACCTTCTGAATTCTGGCTAATAATAGGATTGTTGTGGACCGGGCCTATTTTAAACATTGCACTGCTTAATATTCTTATTTAACATTTCAAATTCCAATAGTGGCCAGATAATAGAACGGGAGCTCCCGGCTCATTGCCCTCACATCACCTCGCGGAATTATTTTGTTTTGTGCTCATTGCCTTGAACATGTCCACAGGAGCCTTCTATTTATCCTCAAAGTAACACATCCCCTCCGGCCAGCCGCTAAACACAGCAGAGCCTTACCTGAAATCGCTGCCACTGTCTTTTCTTCAAGCAGTAGGGACATACGCGATGGGCCGAACGCCTCCTTTTGTCGTTACCCCGCGCTTCACTCCTACCCGCTCCCCGACTTTCCCCACATCCTCACATAATATCAACGTCAAACGGAAAAATATTCTTGCTTTCATTAATACATGTCAGCGTTGGATAGGAACCCCTCCCCTCAGACCACTCCTTCCTCAGCCCCACACCCCCACCCCTCACACCTTCCAGCACTTCCCCCACACCCCAATGGCACTTTCCCCTGCAACTGCAGAATGTGCCACACTGGTCCCTTTACTTCCTCCCCACTCACTGTCCAAGGCCCCAGACACACCTTCCATTTACCTGCACATCACTCAATCTAGCCCGAGACAACAAGGTGCAGGGCTGGATG